CGCATTATACTAGGCAGAAACAGTGACAGTATGTTCAAAGCAAATGATTGGAATCTTAAAGTACTCAAAACCATGCGCAAGCATGGTATTTTGGCTTAAAAAGTTATACAGCTTTTCCCCGAGTGACCGAGACAGGGGTCGAACCTGCAATCTCCTGATACACTGAATCGTAGTCAGACGCGATGCCATTTCGCCACACGGCCATTGCTTCCTCCTTTCGTCCCTTAGCATTCTTTCCGAGAGCCTAGGTTTGTTTCGAGTCTAGATACAAGCCCATTAGCGAATAATCTTATCCACTACACCCATGATTACCGTGTTCCATCATCATGACCACCGTGGAGGCTTAATATCGAGCGTTGTACACGATATTTACAGGCACGACGCATATCACGCCTTCCTCGGAGCTTGTACGAAATCAACGCGTACCTAGCGTGACTTGCGCCACTCTATGTTCCAAATCGGGGTTGATTGCGCTGTCGGGAATCAGCTATGGATGCTTTTGGTAGGAATGTATGGCCGTGTGGCGAAATGGCATCGCGTCTGACTACGATTTAGTGTATCAGGAGATTGCAGGTTCGACCCCTGTCTCGGTCATCCTGTCTCGGTCACCAATTGTTCTTTTTCTTTTTGGCGCTCAGCCTTGAACGTTTTATGGAAGGAGATCTGTGCGCATGAGCATCAAGGGCGCTTATGGTTCTTGGCTCCTCTTCAAATTTTCTGCCTTTTATGATACAGTCTCAGCGTTTTGGACAGTGGACTTAAGCACTATAGCGACGCATAAGAACATGATACGACGCGATACCTTCAGTAGCCCTGTCAAGTGGGTCGCCGCTAGGCGCTCGAGAGCGCAACTCGGATAAATACATAGTATGTATAACGTGAACGATGTTCAAACAGGCGGGCAATGTATTTGTTATAATATGCTTACAAGAAGGTTCCTTCGCTCTGAAATGATGTCTTCTAGGTATATCGCGCGCGTCGATCGCAGACTCAAACCCAAGTCGATACCGATGTACTAGTAGACGCATAAATTGGCCGTCTAAATCGCTCTCAGTGAGAACTCAGTGACTCAGTCGCGTCGTCGGTGACGGCACGGAGCGGAATAGCCTAGAAATCGAGGATGAACTTGCTTTGACAATTTTCTGCATCGACTCGGAACGGACGGCGGACGCGATGGAGAGAGAGAGACCAGTGATGAATGTCCTGTAAGCGTCACCATTATTGAACTAAATCATGATATCGCCTCTCGACCTCGATGCGGATGCGTACGCGGACGCGTAGGCGGATGTTGTATTGTAGGTGGATGATGGATGATTAGCTTCGAGGTCGTCGATGGGCGAGAAAACTTGGATGAAACTGTGGGCGAGCATGACCATGACCATAACCATGTGCCTGTGCATGAGCACGTCGCAGCATAATGCCACTCAGGACACAGGATGTGGCTCGGAAGCCCTGGTAAATCGAAGCGGGGATACTAGTACTCACACTCGCCAGGAGCCGCTGGCAGGTCTCACAAGGCGGTTAGCCTCCCAGCGCAAAAAGGAAGGAAAAGAAAAAGAAAAGAAAAGAAAGGCTACGATTTCTCAACAGCCACGGACGGCTTGACCTACTGCAGGAACTCTACATAAGCACAGATACAGATGTAGACGTATGCGCATGCGTGCGACGCACCGCTGGGCCAGCAGGTCCCACTGGCGTACTTATCTCGGTAGCTCCGACCTCGGGATCTTCGAGTTGATGATGCGTCGATGCGTCGATGCGGATGCGGTGCGTGGCTATAGGCGGATGATAGGCTTCGAGATCGTCGTTGTCGATTGACCGAGAGAGAGAAGTTGATGATGCAGACTCGGATGCGCGCGCTGATAAAATTGGAAAAGGGGTCCGTCGTGAAAGGGGTACGGGCTTGAAGGAAGATGGTGCGATATATAGAGAGAGGGTGTTTGGAGTTTGGCGCGAGTATCATTGTGGTCCGTGGATCCAGGCGTAGAGATTTATTTGGTGTTACATACATACATAGCCGCAGGAGAGGGAACGGACAAACGCAACGCGACGTGACTATCACGCGTATGTATGCGTGTCTGGGATTCGCCGTCCCTGATGTCCAAGCCCACGCGCGCGCGCCAAAGATACGTATGGTCGACTGTGGCATGGCGTTGGTTAGGTTAACCCCATCAAACAAAACTTACAAAACATACAATAATCACCCAAAAGGCTCATGCCAGCGAATACGGCTACCTCGGGACTCGAACCCGACCCTCCGCAAAGCACCAGACTCAGGGCGCCTACGAACATAGGCGCCGCGGGCCTGGCAAGTGTGTGCGGTGCTCTACCGCTGAGCTAGGTGGCCTTGTGGATGGGCGAGGGATTATCTTGATGTGGATAAGTGGACGTGGAGGGATATCGTGGCTTTTGTGATTGTGGGGGTCAGGTGGTGTGGTCAGATGGACGGAGGACGAGGGAGAGGACTGATGGCGATCAGGTTAGGTAAGCGCGGAATCGTTTATCGCTATCGGCCTCGGCCGCAGAGATGCGATGCGATGCGATGGCCTGGCCACGCTATGGCCCCTTGGTTGGGATTGTGGGTATGAAGAAAACAAACAATGTTTCCATGGTATAGCTTTGACTTTTGTTATGAAATAATACTTGGTTGGCATTATAGCCGAGGTGTACTCAAGCAGGCCCTTGCAGGGACGAAGTTCCGACAAGGAAGGAAGGTTGAGGTTGATAGACTGTAATTATACTGGTAATGGCCACGGAAGACTCGGATAAGGGGCAAGGGCAATGAAGGGACCTGAGTAAGTGGGGAGAGAAGACTTCTGATTTGTCTGATTGGGTGGATAAAACAAGGTTATGTTGGAGCAAAGAAGCCGGGGGTTGACAGATGTGAATACACGGGGGCAGTTAACAATAGAAGAGGAGACAAGGACGGACACGCAAAAGCAATGCGGTACGGGTACAAAGAGGGTTGAGCCGAGTGCAGGGATGACGGTAGAGGCAGGCGAGGCGGTGCGGGAGCAGCGTGTGCATGACGGAAACGGAGGAGAGGAAGCGGATCGGGAGATTTACGGATCGGGAATCGGAAATGAAAATTGAGGGAGGGGGAGGGAAAGAAGGATAGAAAAGAAAAAGGGAATGGCCATGGGAGTGTGGTGACGAGAATAGTAACGACAAGGGCAAGAGTGTGGCTGGGTGGAGATGAAAACAAGGAGGAGGACAACGCCACGTTGACAACAAGAGTAAACAGGGGAGATGTTACATATAGCGTGGGACAAATTGATTTTCAGTACCTTTTCCGCCTCGCCCACCATGATGCTCGTCCAGAAACCACCGCATTTCCATCTCGCATCCACTCCTGTCCGTCACCACAGACGCCATCCATCCTCTCCCCCCGTTGTCCATGTCCAACCCACACGCACTCCGGGGCTGCTCACCTTGTCTCACCCACCCACACCCAAGGACCAGCACATACCTGCCTCACAGGCAGAGGGCACAAACGATCCTTTCCTCAACAACAAACACCGCCAACCCCGCAAACGCAACCAACCAATCAACATCCCTGCCCCCCAACCAACCCCTTCTCAACCAGCCGCCCGCTCTGTTCCCCTCCCCAGCCACCGTCCCGCCAAACGCAATGTTGTTCCCGATCTCCTCCCTGCTTTCAACTTTCCCATCTGCGACGACTTGTCTGACAACGAACAGCCGTCCACCCCCACCCGCCCCAAACAACGATCTGCTCCCAAACACAAACAGCACTCTGTCGCCTCTTTCCCTGTCGCACCACTCTCCTCCTTCCCTACGCCCCCACACTCCTCCATCCACACTCCCGCATCCGCTCCACACCACAGGCGCCGCCCTCGCAACCACAAGCGCGCTCCAAGCGACTCTGGCATGGTCTTCCACATGAGCTCTGACGAGTCCGGCTCAGAGGCCGTCCCCAACGACGACCTCAACGCCCTCTTCAAGAACCTCACCATGTCCCGCGCCGCTCTCCGCACCCCACCGCCCCCAGCTCAGAGGGAGGCAATGTACGAAGCTATGGCACAGAGGGAGGTTCGCGGCTATTTCGCTAGTTCTAGCTTCCAGAACTCGCCCAGCCCAGAGGACCTGCCTGATCCGCTGTTGTTTTGAGAGGTCAGCCTCTTTTTTCTTTTTTTCCATCTCAACCCCCTAATTGTATTTTTATTCCTAGAGGGAAAAAAAGGCCTTTCAGCCATGACTTTTTTTGCTCTGCTTTCGCCACTACTTAACCCGGTCAACACTACCCGTCACGGCTTATAAATTCTCGGACACCCGCGCGCTTATTATCATCATTTTTTCTTGTGTCTTATTTTTCTGTTATCCACGTCCCGACTCGCATCCGCCCTCTCCCCCTCCCACACCCACGGGGGGAGACGCCGCTCGGGATTCGACCTATTTGATCCAACCCGACCCGACTCTCCTGCGTTTCTTCTGTCTTTTTTTGGGAAGATCGCAGCGAGGGAGGGTCACGCAATCAATATGTGTATATCATAATCAACCCCCATCCCCGGATTTCGATGTTTCTTGTATATACGCCACGCGTTTGGCGTCCCCCCCGCCCCCCACCCTGCTACGCGCCCGTACACCCTTTGTATCCCCCACCCCGACTAAAAGGAATCCGGATAAGCGACTGACTCTACCCCCCCCCTCCCCGCTTTTCCTACCTAACACCGCCACCACCACCACGCATTCCGCCGACTCTTTATGCTGTCTGTTTTACTCTGGGTTTCTTTTTCTCCGTCTTGGGCTTTTGTGCTGCTGTTTTAGATGGGGCGCTAGTGAGGGCGACGCGCAGTGCAGTGCAGTGCAGATATTTGAAGTGAACTACGACAAGAACAACCAACCAACCAACAAGAATCAACAACAACAACAATTGTATCAACACCACGCAAGCAATTTTTCTTTTGATGTGCGGAGGAGGAGGGGAGGAGTTGTGACGAGGGACGATGAGAGCGAGGAGGAGAGGAGAGGAGAGAGAGGGAGCGCGGGAGGGAAGGTGATTTGCTCCATCCATCCACCATATACTACAGTGCCACGCCTACGCCTACGCCACGCAGTGCCGCCCGTGCCAGGAATGCGAATGCAAATGCAAATGCAAAGTATCTTATCTTCATCGGTGTTTTGTCATCATTATTCTCGCCCCCTCACTACCCCACTACCCCACTCATACCTGCCTACCCGTTCGCGTTCGCGCTCGCATCTACCGACGCCTTGACACCTTGCCGATTCCATACGCCGCACTGCCGCCGCAATCGCAATCGCGGTTGGGCGTTGGACATTGGGCGGCGACGATACCCACTTCACCTCAGCTCGCACCGCGCCGCCCGCGGCTTTAGGTTCTCGGCTTTTGGACCCCAACCCCCCCGTAACCCCCGTATCTATCTATCTATTCTATTCTATATCTTATTATTGGCGCCCGTGTACTCGGCTTCGACTTGGCTTCGACTTCGACTTCGACATCGACTTGACTTACTCTCCCACCTTCCCGCCGTCCTCACTACTTCCACCACTGCCGCCCCCGCCCTAGTCGAGTCGACAGGAGAGAAGAGAGAGAAAGCCAAGAGTCGTGGCCGGGCGCTACGACTGTGTTTTTAGTATAAATCGCTGTTATGCTGTATGTGCACCGCGTGTGTGTACGTACGTATGTACAGTGGGTTTGATATCGGAAACGAATCAACGAGCGAGCGAGCGAGACGGGTCGCTGTGCCGAGCTATATCACGCCCTGCGTTGTGATGGAGCTCTGGAAGGACGTTTTCCGTTTCGCTATGCGTTTCGTCTCGATGCGAGGATGTGTATTAGTATATACGATTACGAGGTGGTTTCTATTTCTTTTCTTCTTATTTTTTTTATTGGTTTTTTTATGTTCACACCCCCCGCCACCTCCTCCAACCACCCGCACGACGACGAGTCGGTGGTCATTGGTCATTGGTCATTGCGCACTTTACCCCCTTCCACGTTTTCCGCTTTATTTTTTCATTTCTTTCTTATTCTTCTTATTCTTCCACCAATCACGCTTCGTTACGCTTTACGTGCGCGATGACCTTCCTTATATTGTTATCCCCTTTTTTGCTGTTACCTTTCTTTTGTTTTATATCTTTTATCTTTTATCTTTTTATCCGATCCCGGTCTTGTCTTGGGATTGGCGTGGTGGCTGACGACGCGATGCGACGCGATGATCGAGAGAGGTGGGGGTTGCTTTTTGGTGAGTTTGCGTCCTGCCTGTTTTGGTGTGGGGTTTTTGTTCTTTGTGCTGATGTGTGTTGGGTATAGGCGTTCCCTTACCTGCCGTGTTATGTCGCGGTGTCGTGGTGTCGTTCTTGACGCCTACGTGCCCGTCGGTACCCACTCCCAGACTCCCACGCCCCACACCCACACCCACACGCTCCTTTACCGTCTTTTTTATTCCTTTTACTCGCTCGACCTGCACGACCGCGCCGCCTGCATTCGAACTCCCATGTAGGCGTAGTCGTCGACGATCCCGCGCACGGACTACGCGCAGCGCTGCGGTCGAGCACACGCCGCCCCCCGGGACTCACACAATCCCGCCCCCGCACCCCCGAACCCGAACGTTGAATCAACAAAGAATTTTTAATGTAGAGTTTTTCTTTTCCATATGTATATATACTCATCCTGGATTCGATTCGCACTACACCACCCCCACCCCCACCCTTACCCTTACCCACCTCCCATTCTCCACTTTCTTATTTACTCGATTCCCTACTCTCCCCCCCTCATTCCGCCCGACCCGAGACCGAAACCGACAAGTAAATGTACCCTAAATCCCCTACGTACCTACGTACGTTACATTACCTTAGATATCGTCGTGTCCGTTATTGTCGCTCCTTTGCCCTCTTCCCTCTTCCTTGTCCTCGGGTATCTTCCCTACCCTACCCTACGTATCTGACCCTCCCTGGCTTTGTATGCGTGTGCTTACGGAGTCGATTTTCCTTGATCCCTCCCTTTTTCATATGTGTCGCGTACCCCCAATAAAGTTTCTTTGACCCGCCCCGAAATGAAGTGGCTCGTTCAACGGCCTCGTTGTGAGATTTGAGGTACATAAGTAATGCGTACGTACGGTGGTGGGTGCTAGTGTGCGACGTGTGCCATGTGCGGCGGGAGGGTGATGTAGTCCGTGCGCTTGTTGGACTTTCGATTGCTACTCACACATTCACGCCCCCAACACTAAGTATTTGTTATGATACGCACTCTTACACTCTGGCTCTAGCCTCTGGGTACGCTAATGGTCTCTAATGAAATCTATGGGTGCTATTTACGAAGACTTCTACATCGGCGCTAGCCTGAGGCATGAGGATTCTGAACCTCGAACT